CCCGACTGCAGGTACTCTGTACCGGCACGTTAGATAGCCCCGACTCGGCCGTTAATCCCCCAACCTGTCGAGATTCTGGACCCGCGGGTCCCTATGCTGGGAGACCCTCGTGCCGCCACCTTCTCTCTCTCCACCGTGGTCAAGATGACCCCGAAACAATAGTTACCTTTGCACATTTCTCCCGAACCCCGAACCCCCACCTCCTCTCCAACTTACGTACGTAAATACGTAAACCATTCAAAATATCACTTTCGTTCCTTTTCACCGGACACCGGCGAAACTTTTAAGACGAGTTCCGGAACTCTAAAACGAAAAATTTCACACTTGGTTTGACCATCTGACATTATGATCACGTGTGAGAAAATCAGAAAGTCACGAAGTGGGCGCAAGGAGCTATTTGCGTGTTCGCGCTCTTTTCCACTCAGTGTAGCCACCACCGAAACAACAACATCTGAAGCTCCCTCCGGGGGAAAGGGAACCAAATATTTCAAATTAGTCCGTAGCGAACGAAAAGGGGAGACTGGGTCTCCCTTAAATTATAGATGATTAGGCAAACTCGCATTCCGTCATCGGTACAACCGTTTTCGAGGAAAAGACGAAGGTACACACGTCACACTTTTTTGGTTGGCATGTCTTCAAATGTCACACACACACACACACACACACACTGTCTTACCCAGTAGCTGTTATCAAGAGTCACATTCACACCCGTCACATTGCCTGTTATCAGTTGTAGCTCTTTTGGTTTGTGGGGGTTGAAGTGAGAACCACGCAAATGCCATTCCCAGGGTAGCAGGTGGTTGTCTTGTTCACAATTGTAAAAACGGTCGACGTGTGAAATGTAAGGGCCCTATTCAGAAAGAAAATGCCAAAGAATATGTATTCGTAAAAATGACACCAAGTACGGCCAATTGTCTTGTCATGTTGGAAAGACCATGTCCTCTAGGGTGACGGCTAAGGTACACTGTTAAACAAGCAGGCCCGCCCTTACGCCAAACGGAGTTGCCAGCTCCGCTTAGCTTCGCCGGCAACTCCGTTCGGCAGCGGCCGGGCCTGCTTGGCCTGCCGGTGTGGTGTGGTCCCCATACCCCATGGTAGGCATACAGCATTGTAAAAAAAATTGTTGTCACTTAACAACAAATTCGTTGTTAAGTTTTTAACTGACTCGTGTTGTTGTACAACAGCTTCGGTTGTCAATTAACAGCAAAAGTTGTCCAGTTACAGTGATTAAAAAAGTCAGCAAAAACAAAATGGTGCCCAATAGTCCAATATTAACAATGCATTGACAACAAACGTAGTTGTTTTTCGACAACTTCTGTTGTTCTTGAACAACTGAGCTGTTGGTCAACAACTGAGCTGTTTTTTAACAACTAATTTTTAGAGTGAGGGGGGGTACACCTAACACGTGAAAGTCATACCCCCTGCCGTAACTTAAAGTCGAGGGGGTAAATCCTTCATGTGATAGTTGTAACCCCCATCGAGGGGGGTACAACTATCACGTTATCGTCATACCTCCTATAGGGGGGTATAGGGAGCACGTGATGGTTGTAACCCCCTTAAAGAGGGGGTATAACTATCACGTGGTGGATTTACCTCCGGTAGAATCGGCATTCAGAGGGGGGTATGACTACCATGTGATGGTTATA